GGGGGGGGCAGTGGGCAACGTCTATGATGATGGGGTACGCAGGAGGAGGAGGAGATTTTCCTCTTGTGTTTCTGTGGGAGACGTCTTGGATCTTTAGAGCTTCGTCTGTGCATAATTTTCAAGGAGCGTTCAGGAATTCGCGTAATGCTCATAAAAATCGTGTTTTCGGTGGTGCTCCCTTTTGTAAAGGGAATTTGTAGCTAACAGCAGAAAGCTGTTTCTGCCGTGTGAGCCTATAGTAACTTTAGAGTCGCTGTCTTTTTGATCTCGGAGAAATGTAGGTTTTATTTTGCTTTCTAAAAAGTTTTTTAAAAGTACAAAGAAGCTGAGGGCTAAAATGCTTTCTGTCTGTGTTAATGGTAATTCTCTTTAAAATCTTTTTTACTACTTGGAAAAATACACTTCTTGCATTAACTCTCAAGACGGCATTATCTTAGTGCACATTTTATGAGAACTGGGATTCTGGGACCTTTCAGATTCTGTGCAAGGAACCCCCTGAAATCGTTGCCCACAGAATCCGCAGGCACAGACAGTTTCCTTCCCCCTTGTGATGAAGAGCACTTGCAGTTCTTAGCTATTCTTGGAGTGCGTTCTTTGCAGGTAGGCTTCACATAGGTTTCCCTGCATTTAGTATTTTTCACATTGATGTCTGAGTAACTACTTTGAAGACATTTGCAAAGTGATTGTGAAAGGGGTTTAAAGCACGGTTAGCAAGGTAGCATCTGGAGTGCGCAGATACTTGAAGGCAGTAGTTACCTCAAAGTGACGTTTTTCCTGTTTTTTTCCTTCTCTTTCTCCAAAATGTAATACAGGAGAACATGAGAAACATCCTTTCTAATGCTATTGTCTTGAGGCAAACCAAAAAAGTAGAAGGAAATACAGCAGGTTTATTACTGTTACGAAGTTTATCATAGTAACTAAACCTTACTTCAAACAGGGTTTGAGCGATGTAGACAGATCTAACTCTTAAATCACTGAAACTTTGCTGCTTATTCCACATAGCAATACAGTAAGTGAACTGTTTGTTTATATGTTTCTGTAGAGGTTCTTACCTCATTTAGGTACTTAAAGTTAGCTGATAGTTAATACTAGTTGGATATGTCCCGAATACTAGGGACTTAGTCCCAGAAATACAAAGTGTTAATGTTTGTTGTGTCTGTGTAGCACAGTATGAAAATACTTGATCTAGCTCTGGACAAGTTAGTGCAGTATGTTATTATTAAGCCGTGTAAAGATACTGGGTTAGGTCCTCAAGATAGGGCAGTCCTGCCTGTGCTCTGCAGGGCTAATTGCTCTTTCTGGACAAGGCTAATTAGTGCAGCCAACTTACAGTTTGGGAGCTGGTTCAAATATCTGTGCAGTACTGCTGTGAACAGTACAGTGTTGGTGTAAGCATACTTGAGTGCTACAGACAAAAGCAGTGTAAGATGGAAGATACGAATTCGCAGTATTTAATACATCGCTCAAGTCATGAATCCAGTGTTCCAATTGTTAACATTCAGGTGATCCTTTATTAATATTGTTTGCATAAAACCTACATCCTCTAGTCTGAGGCATAGGATAGTTAGCATTTTTAAAGTGTGTATCAATCTTCTAAGCTTTAGCACAAGTATTTTAGAAAGAAAGGAAAAAGATTCTGCCATTAAGCCATCCATTCCAGAACTTGCACTTTTTAAGGCTTTTGGCCTTGGCATCCTCTTTGAATTTTAACTGATGCTTGGCTTTTTCCGAACTGGGAACCCCAGCAAGTCTGTTGTAAGTGTTCCTAGCGCGCCGGGCATGTTAAACTCATGGCAAATGGCCCTGTCAGGTGCCGTCCCTCACTGCTGTGGTTTTGTGGAAAAACGGTTGATTGTTGATAGCTCATAATTTTTTAGTAGCTTTTTTCCAGACCGTGTGTAATTAGTGTAATCACAAACTATAGTTACAATGATGAGGTAGCATCTTCTTTAAAACAGTGCTTGGAGTGGATTGAAATGTCCTTCTGGTGAAGACAGTTACTACCTTTAGAAAAGTCTACTGCACTGTTCAGAAGCTTGCTTCAAGGCAGGCCGAGGGTAGTGGTGGGGGAGGCAGTTCAGTTGTCACACTTGTGTCCTTATGGTAGATGTGCTTCCTAAAGGGCTGTCTTGGATGCAACTGAAGTGTTTGGAGCCAAAGAGAGCGCATTTCATTCTTTGACATCTCTGCTTCCCGGCCAAGGGAGGGAGAAACCATCCATCCGCTTGTGCTGGAGCTGAGTAACTGGAAAAACCATGGCAGGGACTCTGGTGGGCTACATAGCTTCTAACGTGAGGCTTCATCGCCTATTCACGGGTATTTGCAAGTAGTGCTGTGTGTCAACAGGGTCAAATTCCTACCCTGAAAAGGTGTGACACAATAGTATTAGCATGTTATTATCCATAAAATAAATGTCTTGTAAATCATTTGCACCTTTTCTGAATTGCTCTGTTATCTGACTTTTTTAAATTATTGCAAAGTATAATTTGGAACTGTAGTGTTAAGCGACATTAAAAACTGTAAAAGCCATTTATGAAACCTGAACTACATCCTTGAAAATGTAGGGCAATGCATTGTCTGTTTGCAGCAGTTAAATGAGGAGAAGGTGTAGTGTGGCATTACGGCAGAAGTTGTTGCTAGATAAAACTATCAAATTACATACGGTGCCCTCATTGTAGTGATGATGGAGAGGAGGCAGAAAGCAAACTGCTATAGTGACCTTTATGCATTCATTAAACAATTAAATTTGAACCGTATGAAATCTGGGTTGTATCTGTTATTTACTACTGAGTGGTTTTAGCCAGATGGGTTCCATTTTGGGGAAGGAGTTCTGTTTCAAATCTCTAAAGCAAAGGTGTGGTGATAGTAACTGCCAGGAAAAAATAAAAGTTTCCAAAGGCACTAGAGAGGTGGCCAGATGGTGGCTGGGGACCTGAGGCAGCCTTCACTAGAGCCAGAGGTGAGGCTGATAGGGGTGCCCAGTGGTGCCCTGAGAAGAAGCAAGCTGGTGGGAGCCATGGGCTGCTCTGGAGCTTCCCAAGCCCTTGGTGGTGGTAAGCATGAATGTGGTACTGTCAGGCTTCAGGGTTGTTGCGTCAAGAAAACCTGTCTGGTAAAGTTCAGGTTTTTAAATTAAATGCCACAGGCTGCTCTGGTTATAAGCTCTGACCCCAAAGTAATTACTAATTCCTTACCTTCATGATAAAAGCTTACGCATTCTACAGATCTTAAGGAATTCCTTAAATGCAATTATGATGAAAACAATTGTGGTTGCTTGCAGTTTCTAAACTAATTTGCAAATAACAAAACAACCAGAATTCCACTGCAAGTTCTGGTCCTTTGTGCAATAATGCTGTTAAATACTACATCCGTATTCTGCTACTTCAATTTTTGTGGGTGTTTAAAAGCATCATGGAAATATTTTATGATATTTTCTTTTAAAGCTGAATTTGGTTTTTTTTCTGGTTTTACTTAAAGCTGACTTTCTTTTTTTCTCTGTTTTTACTTAGAGCATGTATATCTTTAGGATCCAAGACTCGGGCCATTGGGAATGCAGCAAAGAGCCAGGTAAATGGATCACAAACTCTCATATTGCTTGCCTGACTTGTCTCCTGTTGAACTGTGGGAAGAAAAGTAATGAAAAAATTTTATATTCTTCTGTTGTAAATTTTCTACAGTAAGTGTACATTTTGCAGTAACAGTTACTGCTTCAACAGTATGTTCCTTGTATTAAAAATGAAACAATATTTCTGCATTGTTGTGCCACTCAGAGTAATAAATGGGAAGAAACAGAAAACCTTGTTTCTTTCCCAATAAATTTTTTTTTTCTTACTTAAGACACAAAGAATAGAGTTCATCGTTAAATCTCCACTGGGAGTGGGGAGGAGTACTGCGCTTATGTTTTAGAAAAATTGAAACTGAAGTTGAACAATAAAAGTTTGGAATAGGTGCTGGTTGTTGCTTATAATGTGAAATGAATGTGTCTTAGTAATTTACTGTCTCAATTTGGAACTTTGAACAGAAGTAGAATTTCGCTAATCCTCTGTAAATTCAGTTGCAACCTAGGAAAACTTCATTTGGAAGGAAAGTACATAACAATTCGTAGTAACCAACGTTAATCTACAAATTCAAAACAGATTGGGTCTTATCCTCCTTGTTTGCATCTATGCATCATGTTAGCATCCTGAGGACTTCCTTCCCCTCGGTGTAGAATGTAGGTAACTGGAAATTTGCCGGGTGGATGTAAAGGTAGTAGAGCCCAACTGGTAGTGCCAGGAGCCGTTAGTATCTGCGGAGGCTGTATCACTTTCATTCTGAGAAACTTTACCCTTTTTATCTTAGCTCAACCCCTGAACGTTGCTGGTGAGGAGGTGTCCTGTCAGTTCACTTCCCAGCTATGAAGTTTGCTATTTGGACCAGTGAACTAGAGTAGTTTATCAAGATTACCCTGGAGTAATTTCTTTTAATAGTTTAAATACTGCGTTTGTTGGGATTTGTTTGTTCTGGTCCTTTCTTTACTTAGAAGTCTGTCCTTGAAGTAGTTAGGTGGAAACACTGATGAGAGAATAGGTGTGAGGAGGCTTTATGTCCAGATGGGATCTGAATTAGAGGAGAACTTTAAAGGAAGTAAAATGTGTTCATTTGAAGCTTTGTTTAAGGTTAATGTAGGTAATAACTTCATTGGTTCCAGCAGACAGCCATTGCAACAATATGTAGTACAATCTCAGGTACTGCGTACTGTATCAGAAAGTTCCTCTAAAAGAAAAGGTACATTGAAAATTGATGGCAGCAAGCTAATGGATATTAAAGAGGGAAGTAAATTTGAATTTTTTAAATGGAGACCGTCGATTAAAAACCAGATGCTTCTTTCTCTGTCCCCCACACCACCCTTTGCTTTCCAGTAAATATGTGGGGCTTGATACAGGTCTTCAGTATGTGTGTTAAGGCCAGCATAACAAAAGTTCCTTTCTGGATCGTCTTCTATAGTGTGTGTCATGGGTAACTGAAAACAAAATATCTTTTCCACAGATTGTCACAAATGTAAAAAATACATTACATGGCTTCAAAAAACTGCATGGAAGAGCATTTGAAGACCCTTACATACAGGCTGAAAGGGCCAAACTTCCCTATGAACTTCAGAAGATGCCGAATGGCTCTGTAGGAGTAAAGGTGAGTTACAGCTTCGTGTGGTGTAGAGATGAGCACTTTGGACCTTTGTTACTTAACTGTCTACTTCAATTATATTGTCCTTAAGAAAACTCTAAATACATTCTTAATCATTTTGGAAAGAGATGTCAGGTGATGACTAGTACAAGAACAGCTTGTATTTTTCACACAGCCTGCCTTAGCATAGTTTTGCTAGGTTTCTCATTTGCCCTTGTAATTCATTCACTTATTTAAATGTTCAGGAAGATCCAGAGTACTTGCTCTATATTACATGCTCATGTCTTTTAGTAATAAAGTAGTGTAAAAAAGGTATTGCTTTGTCTCCCATACTGGTATACTATAAAATGTTAATAGCCCTTACCCCCAAAAAGTTTGTTTCATTCAACTTCAGTAAAATTGACTGTGTAATGTATTTGCTGTTACCAAGAGACGCAGAACGTTTTATTCCTTGCAGTACCATCTGCTCAAGTACTGTACTTTCTCGGAAATGTCTGTTGAGCTTTCTCATCATTTTTACTAGCTTCTGGTAGTCACATCAGTAGCTTTTCACCTTACCTTACTAGATCTACCTTCAAATACATATAATTACAGTGTGTGATTACTAGTCTCATCTGAGTTGAGGTCTTAGACATGCAGAGACCAAGTTTCAGGAAAAGAAGCTGACGCTCTGAAGTTGTAATCCAAGCAAGTTATGTTTAATTTCCTTCCAAACTAAATGGGTGGAAACCACTCTACTCAAAGTTCAGGCTTTCTGGCTTCAGTGTTTGAATGTATATGTCTTTTAGCATTTTAGTTTGGATCAGGGGTACACTTCTGAAGCAAATCTTCCAGTCACCCTCACTGAGTGCACTTTGTGTTGCTTTTTGGCAGTGCTTTATACCACACAATGTAAGTTTCTTTTGTTCTGTGTATCTGCTTGTATTGTACTAATTGCCCCTGTAAATACAGCTGCTGCTCATCTTCCTGGGTTTCCCTGCGCTGGGACTGCTGGAGAGATGGCAGCTTGCAGGGAGTTCAGGACACAGAACCTCACATGAAGGCTGAAGACTCAGGTGTGCTTCCTGAGCAGGGCAGGACTGTTAGAATTACCTTGTTTTCCCCTTCCCTGCCTTATGTGCTTGAGTGACCCTTGCAGGAAGCAAAGTTCCTTGGGTTTGCTCCAAAATTCCTGGGTTTAGCTCATGTTAGAACAAATGTGATTTTGTGTTCATTACACATTTTCTGATTTTAGTTTGGTTTTTTTGAGTTAAAAAGCCCCAAAGAAACAACAAAAATACTGTAGCTTTGTGAATAGCCCTATAAGGCAGATGTTTAGCTGAAAATTGTTTTGTGGGAAAGCTTAACTGAACTGTTACGATTTGTTGTAGGTAGCACAAATCCATAGCATCAATTGATACAGAGAGTTGCATGTGTCCAGAATCTTGTGTTAAACTTGGGTCTCATTGCTCAAAATCACAAAAAATGTCCCAAGTCACACATCTTGGAGAAAAGCTGAGACAATTTATTACAGAATTGCAATTCTCTGTTTCAGGTGAGATACCTAGATGAAGAGAGACTGTTTGCAATCGAACAGATTACAGGAATGTTACTGGCCAAACTTAAAGAGACTTCAGAAAGCGCGTTGAAGAAACCAGTGGCAGACTGTGTGATTTCAGTAAGTTGTAATGTATTTATTACAATTTTTTCTATAGATAACTTTTGTGTAAGCTAGTACCACTGATGCCATGGTGCAATGGTAAGAGATACAGGCACTGGGCAGAAGTTGCATCCCCCCAAAAAATGGGCCTTTATTATAGAATTTTCCAAATGAGAATACCTTTGTAATCATGTGTGAGAAAATGGGAGATTTGTTAAATCAAGAATGTGTTTTCAGAAAGAACACAAACTGATCCGGACTGGCGAACTCCCAAGTGCTGCGTATAGTAATCCTGTAAATACTGTAGCTTCTGTTGTAAATGGGAACTGTCCTGTGCGTAAGCGTATCTTCCTCAGTTCCAAAGAACCTTCCCAAATTCATGTTAGATGTCTTCATTGTTACAAGTTGAACGCTGTTGGGTTGCAGTGTAGTTGAGAGTTACCTGATGAACTTTATGGCTCTGAAGGTCATACTGGCAATTTGAGAAGCCAAGACTACCTGCATTTGTTTGAAAAGGTCTTTTTATTTGGCTGGTATACTTCTATTGGTTTGGGGTTGGGTTGTTTGTGGTTTTTTTAGCTAGTGTTCTCATCTGTGACGGGGGAGTAAGGGGACGAGCTTGAAGACGAGATGTTTTGTTCCCGAGATAAAGTCCTAAATGTCTGCTTTTCACATTGTTTTTGCTACTGCTTCGTTCTGCTCTTGCTGTGGTGAAAAGTCTGGGCATGAAGTATTGGGGTTATCCCCTCTCTGTCAGACAGAGACATGGGAACTGGAAAGCTGTGTACTTCAGCTGTTAGAAATCTGCTTTGATGTTTTTCCTTGCTTCCTTATGGTATACAAAGACACTTACAGAGAATACCTCCCACGCAAACTAGGATCCTTGGTAATACCCCACAATAGTAGCTAACAGAATACACTATGAATGTAGTTCTGTGTCTTAAGCTGGACTGAAATTGAAGATACACCAACTAATTGCAGCCATGTTCTAAATAGGCTCTGATTGTGCTTTGCCTGTTTTTGGTGGAACTGAGCACTGTAGCACACCATAAACTGGCACTGTGGTAGAGGTGATAAGTGAAAAAATGGATACAGATTCAGTTGTAACACAAAGTTTAGTTCCAGCACCACTGTAGTGCTTCTGCAGTAACTTATTTTAGGGTTAAGTATGAGTATTGTGTTGACTTTGTGCTGCACAAATGTTTTCAGAAACTGGTAATGATTTTAAGATCAAAGACTAATCAGAAGAATTTGAGAAAACATTTTTCAGATATTTTTGGTGCTTAAATCTACTTTAAAACAGCTCTGGATGTCCCTTCATTTTTGTCATATTTTGGAATTTTAATTAAAATACACACTAAAATGAATTACCTAGCTGTTTTATTCAGAATACCTTATTAATCTGAGGTTACCTTATAACAGTTGCTTGTGGTATTGGAATTTCTAGGGTTGCTAAATAGGTAAGTCTGACTTCTTTAAATTAAAAAGTCCATATTGCATAATATCTTGTAATTTTTTTCTGGAAACAGGTACCTAGTTTCTTCACTGATGCTGAGAGAAGGTCTGTAATGGCAGCTGCACAGGTCGCAGGATTAAATTGTCTGAAGCTGATGAATGAAACTACGGCAGGTAAAGTGCAGTGACACTTTTTTTTGTTTACAAAAAAAAGCCCCAGACATTCAGGCTGTTGAATCTGTGAGGGTACCGATGTACTCCTGTTACACAATTAGGAGCTCGGGGAAAAAGCTGTTGAGGCTAGTATTGCCCAGTCCAGCTTGGAAACTGGAAGCACAGCAGCTCTTTTCAGTGGGGTGGTGTTCAGCACTTATGAGGCATAGAGTTTGGGTTTGCTAACTTGAATACAGTGCCGCTTGAAAATAGTTACTCTGCTTCTGAGATAAAGTTGGTATCTGTGCTTACCTCTGCTGTAACCATGGAGCTACAGTAGCTGTATCGGGAAGGCCTCAGCCAGTTTCAGAATCTCTTAATGATCCAGGTGGGGTGTGCATCTGACCTAAATTCTTAATTGTTGTATTAAATAATAGTCTGGTACAGTCTTATCAGATGTAACCTGCATCTGCCTGAAAGATTACAGTGAATACATTATTTAACATAGGTGTGTAGTGGGGTCTTCTAATTTTATTTCCATCTTAGGGGAAGATGGGTGTGCTGGAGTAAAAATAAATCTCATGGTAGTGTTAGAGAAATATTTTTTAATCATAAGCTAATATATATTCGAAGTGAAATATGCTGAAGGGAAATTTTTAAAAGTGTAATCCAAAGATTTTTCATTTTTAATTACTTAATATGGATGCTTTAAAAGCTGCTTCTACGCAAACTGTATTTTTGTGGAGCTTTTTCTGACAGCTGACATGCTGATCGTATTTAGAAAGAACTTGAACTCTATGGCTTGTCAAAATAACCAAATCAAGTCAAGCAGAAGTCTGTGGGATAATGACAGTTTAAACTTGTGGCAATCCTGTCAGTTGTAGCATTGGCACAGCTGTTGTTTCTATCAAGTAATTTGTTTACTGCCCTCTCCTGGTTTTGGTGAATTCTAGGGTAGAGTACAGGAATATGTTACACTTCATGGGAACTAAAGTTGGCACTGTTTAGACCAGGACTTTTATTTTTCTTTTTCTTGATTTAAGTTCTCTCTGGTTTTAGAAAGTCTCAACCAACTTTCCAAATGAGTGCTGGTATTGAAATCCTAGATTTGTATAAACCAGTCTTCTAAAACATTTTTTTATCTCTTAGCTTTGTGAAATTCAAGCATACTAGAGCTAAAGCATACTGAAAGTCAGGCATTTCAAAGGAGAGATATAGGCATGAGACTTGATCTGTGCAGTACTACAAATGACAATGTTAACTTGGCTACAAGTAGAACTTGTGAACAAGGTGATGCTTTAGTAGTGTTAAACCTTCACTTGACATCTGTTTGCTCCCTTGACAGTGAAAAATGCAATGAGCTGCTTTACTTATGAACAGTGTTGCTTAAACAGAAGGAAAAATAATCTGATAAATCCTGCATCAAAAAATTTAAATTTATGATGGCACATATGCTACCAACTTTTAAGTTAGTGCTTTGAAGGTGCACAGCATGCAGTTCTTGTTGAAGAGAGGTGTTAGGTTATACAGAATACTTAAATGCCAAGTATATGAGTGAACATGATGTAATTTGCTAGCAAAACTATAAATCACACAGTAAGAAATGAAAATAAAGAACGTGGCAGTTCATAATGGTCTAAAACTTGTGACCCTTTCGACCCTTATGTTCTGTCTGAGCAGAGTAATGGAGGTGTTTAGAAAGAGTAAACATAAGTAGTGTCTTTTTTGTGGTAGTGCTTTTAATACATGCTTTACAGTTGTGTACAGTTTTCCCTAAACTTCTAAGGGTTGGTGTTTTTCAGTTGCACTGGCCTATGGAATATACAAGCAAGATCTGCCGGCCTTGGAAGAGAAGCCAAGAAATGTGGTCTTTGTAGATATGGGGCATTCTGCGTATCAGGTTTCAATCTGTGCTTTTAACAAGGGAAAACTGAAGGTAATCTTTTAAGCCATACAGTAAATTCCCATATTCCTGAAGTGCTTAATTGGACAGGACTCAAAATACCGTTCAGTGGAAAGATTATTTTAAAAAAAAAAACTAAACAAATATCTATAGCAAATATTTTTGAAATGCTGAATACAAAAACTTTCTGTTGTTTTCTGGCTATTCCAGCAAGTCAGTTTTTACAAAATGCAGAAGAGAAGTATCCTAAAGTGTGTTTTGAAAAGCACATGACAATTAAGCGTATGGCACAGTTTTTGTGTCACGTTGTATCGCTGAAATATTTACACATTCTGGTAGTCTCGTAAGCATTGTAGTTGTGCATCTGACTTACCTATGGGAAATTGTTCAACCCCCTGAATTGCTCCCTGATGATTTTTTTTTTTTCCTGCCACCCATGACAGTTCAATATCTAAATGCAACAGGATGTGAAGTAAAACTGAACAGTCTTCACTTCCTGGCTTTGAGGTTTTTTTCTGTGAGCTACTGATGGCTGAGTGTTTTTGTGGATTTGTCTTTGGTAGCAAAATGTAGTCATCCAAAGTCATATGGAATATGATAGTGAGTTTTTCTGTTTTGAGTAAATGACACAGTACTAGTAATAGCATGACAAAATAACTGTCCTAGTCTGGCTTTTCTTTAGTGAGTTTGCAAACTGAGTAGAGGAGGCAATGTGGTAGAAAATAGCATGGCAGATGTGATAGTATTTTATCTGGGGAGGGCATAAACTAAATAATTGAGGAGTGATCTTTTTAAGCTGTTCCGTCTGGCAACTGCGTAGAAGATGGTGAGAAAACCACAAAGAATTTTCCCAGGTGTTAACTTATAAAACTAGTGTCTGTGTGAAAGCTATCCCTATATCTAAACAAACACTTCTAATAACTTCTAATGTTGTTTCACTCCCGTGCAGGTCTTGGCTACTACCTTTGACCCTTTCATAGGTGGTAGGAATTTTGATGAGGCTTTGGTAGACTACTTCTCTGAAGAATTTAGGACAAAATACAAACTGAATGTAAAAGAGAATCCCCGAGCACTATTACGATTGTATCAGGAATGTGAAAAACTAAAGAAGCTTATGAGTGCAAATGCTTCTGACCTTCCACTCAATATTGAGTGCTTCATGAATGACCTTGACGTCTCCAGTAAGATGAACAGGTACTGTGCATTATTTTCACTGAAGTGCAGCGAGGCGTGGCCTCTAAGCTGTCTGGTAATATGAAACGCTTTCCCTGTTCCTGCAGAGCTCAGTTTGAGCAGTTGTGTGCTGCCCTTCTGTCCAGAGTGGAACCTCCGCTAAGAGCAGCCATGGATCAAGCTAGTAAGTAGGAGTTAATTTAGGTAATACTTTTGGTTTAAGAAAGTAACTAGTAATCCAGTTATCTTAGATCTCTGTAGTGATTATTTTTTTAATGTATTTTTGTATTTGTTAGAGTTGCAAAGCTAAGTACTGAAAAGTTAAATGTAAGTTCCATTCATATGCTTGTCATGTATGCATGATCCCATTCCTGCCTTGTTTAGTGCACACACCACTCTGCAACCTTGGTTTATTGACCCTCATTCACCCTGTCTGATGGAAAAGGTTGGTGCTCTGAAAGATTATTTTGTTTAAAAACACCATACAACCAAACCGAAACCATGATGGGAAAAACTATTATTCTTTACTGCAGCTGTCTGGCCAGCCTGTTCCATATGTGATACATACATGTCCTCACTGACCTAAGAATTTGGCAGTATATTGTTGAAATAAATTATCTGAAGCATGTGCAAATAACAATGTTTTTATTTTAATTTTGGTTTTCCCCTGCTGTAGTATTAAGGAAAGAATTAGATTTTCCCAGGAAAAGGTTTTACCTCTAATTCCAGCATCTTCAACTGAAGGAAAGGGAACAATTCTGCTTATCTTGTGACTTGGCTAGATAGCTAATACGGGAAGTATGAACTTGAATAACTGCTGAGCAGAGCTGTTCAAGGACTGACAGTTGTTTGAGATCACTTTATATGTGTATCTTGAATTTAGAATTTAAAAATTACCCTGTGAGCACAGTCTAATATTTATTACATATTTTTAGTGAAGGGTGTTGCTTTTCTTTATGGGCAACCAAAATTAAACCAAACATAAAATGAGGTGTATTTGGCTTTCATTTTGTTCTTGTTTGGGAGGGATGAGGTATTGTCCCCTAGTGCAGGGCAGCCAAAGAAAACCCAGTTACACACACACACTGGAGTTTGTGCACGCCAGAAGGGGGATGTACATGGACAATGCCTTCTAAAGAACAGCTTTCTTCATTGACACTTGGCTTCTGCATTTTCCAGGAGTATGCAACTAGAAAACTTTAGAGCCTGCAGACAAAGAGTTTGAATAGGACACATCATGACAAATCTGGTTTTAAACATCTTGTCAGCCATTTAATATATTCAGTGCTTGTTACAGTGTCTAGATAATAAAAGAACTCCTATATATTTTTTCGTTGTCCAAAGACAGCTTTTTGATGTCTTGATGATAACCTAAGGCCACGCACTCTCTTTTCTAGAACTTCAGCGTGAAGATATCTACAGTATAGAAATAGTAGGTGGGGCTACTAGAATTCCAGCAGTGAAGGAACAGATCTCTAGCTTTTTCTGTAAAGAGATAAGCACCACGCTAAACGCCGATGAAGCTGTTGCAAGAGGCTGTGCCTTGCAGGTATAGTTATTGAAATTAAACTTCAATATTGCTTCTTTAACATCATGTACTAATGAAATACAACTAAGCAAAAGGTACTAATAATTGAAACAAGATGTAGAGTCTTACTTGTTCTTTTAACATTGGATGACAGTGAACATGTCAGAAATTAATATATTACATTTGGTAACTTGCTGCTGTGTCACGTTAGAAGGGTAGTGTTGTTGGAGACCTGTTCAATTTGATGACGTAAATTGCAGTGTCCCACTTCTGTGTAGTCGCTTGGAAGCTTTGCTGGGTATCTGCTGACAATCACTGGGGAAGTAGCATCTGTTATGTTTCTTTAATTTAGCTAAGTCTTTCAGTTCAATAAACTTTCTACCAAGCATATGAAGTTTCTGTTAAAATTTCTGTCATAAGCAGGACCTCTGTGTAACCTATGTGAATTCTAGCCTTTTGCACTTGGGTATGAATTATTGTACTTGCTATTTATTTGACTACATGAATGTAATAAAATTTTGGTCTTCGTTTTCTAGTGTGCAATTCTTTCCCCAGCGTTTAAAGTGCGTGAATTTTCCATCACAGATGTTGTTCCTTATTCAGTAACATTAAGATGGAAATCCTCTTATGAAGAAGGAACAGGGTAAGTTGTATGGTGCCTACTAAAAAGTGTGTATATATGTATATAAAGAAAAATGTTGACCTATGGGAAAGACCAGGCCTCAGACTTTGAAGCTGTCGTCCACTCAAATGGTTTTAAGTTTATTGTTTCGAGATGCATCTCTTGACTTCCGATTACTGCTTAATAATTGGAAATACATTTAATTAAAGAACGTTGATGTGAAGTTGCAGAATTTTTGGGAAGTGTGACATAGAACGCGTAGTCCAGCTTTGAGACCTACAGGCTTTCAACCTGCAGCTCTTGTCGTGAACTGACTTAAGCTAAATTGCTTAGCTGCTTGGTTAGCATGACTGCTGATTATTAACATACCTTGATTTTGTTTATCCACTGTGTTATGCTCAGTGGTTTAACCTTGCTTAATATTTTACTACTTTAGGGAGTGTGAAGTCTTCAGTAAGAACCATGCTGCTCCATTTTCAAAAGTAATTACTTTTCACAAGAAAGAGCCTTTTGACCTGGAAGCTTACTATACCCATCCCCATGAAGTGCCTTATCCTGATGCCAGAATAGGTAAGGACATGTGGATAAAAACCCCATACCCAGCTCCTGTTGATGATGGGAAAAGTGGTTCTGCTTTTTTTAAGATACGTTACTTTCGTATTTCGTAGGTTACAGAAAAGCCTAGGTTTTTTAGAAAGCCTCAGCACAGTCTGCTTGGTTTAGAGGCAGTGATCAAACGGTATCGACATCTCTTGGCAGTTCCTAAAAAAGGTTGCTTTGTTCATTCTGTCTGGCTTCAGTGTTTCTGAATGCTTAAAAAAAGTAGGTACAAATAGTTCAGTGCTCTATTGTCTGGTTCTTTCAACCTCTATAAAATGAATAAGGATCATATGTGCCCGCCAGCCTGGATTTTTCAAAGAAGTTGGATCAAAGGAGCTGTTAGCACTAGACAGTTACCTGTCGGGGCAGATATCTGTCATGTCTTTTTCTGTTAATCTGAGAACACACGAGAGGGGCATTCCCTGAACTTAATACTTCAGACTGCTACAGATGTTTAAATGGTATGAGTACGTTTACCGGTAGCTAGTACTACCTTAGGTGCAGTTATTAGACTGCTCAAGGTCTTCAAACAAATTCACAATGTTATTTACTGATTTATGAGTCAGATACAAACTTGATGCTACCGATTTAGTTGTCTATGCAAGAAGTCTGTCATCTTCAGGATAGAACATTCTCCTTTACGTGCTCACAGTCTGCATCATTTACACTCAAATTTCGAGCAAGTTGCAAAACACTGTCAACCTCACTGCTTCCGGAAGCTTGGATAAGCACTGTTCATTCCCCAAACTGTGTAGTGCATCCTTGTTACCAAATTCAAATATAATCCTTTATTTCTGTTAACATTGTATTTTTCAGTGCAAAGTTTGAGTTACATGGATGAAAGAAACCGTTTGAGATAAATCAGAGTAATTTCTCAAGTGTGATGGTTAGAGAAGGCAACAGAGGAGTAGAACACCTAATGAAGTGTTACCCTGACTTTTTTATGAAATACAGATAAAGCAAAAACATCTTATTAATTATCAGTTAACTGATAATAATTGGGGAACCAGGTTTTAGTTTATCTAGCTGCGACTTACATTGTAGAATTGACAACTAAGTAGAAAGTTTCCAAATAGTTTGTTACATGAAGTTGCTATTTAAATTAACACCCTTCAAGGAATGTATCTTATTTCTCTTTTTTTTTCTTCTCTTTTACTATTTTTTGGAACAACAATTAAAACCATTGTTGTTTTTTCAAGGGCGTTTCACTATTCAAAATGTTGGGCCCCAGCATGATGGTGACAATTCCAAAGTGAAGGTTAAAGTGCGAGTCAATATTCATGGCCTTTTCAGCGTGGCGAATGCTTCTATAATAGAGAAGCAGAACATAGAGGGAGATCACAGTGACACACCTATGGACACTGAATCAGCAAGTAAGAACCAAGGCAAAGATGATGAACTGGTATGTAAATAAATATCTACACCCCTTGCAATTCTGACAAGCGAGTCAATTACAGATTAAATCATGGCGTATAGCTTTTGACAATTACTGCTTCTCCACCCTAAATAATTTCTCAGTTATATAACGCATTTCTTTGTTTACTATGGTAAAGGTGGCATGAAGAAAGCAAAAAAGAACGTAAAACCAGCTTCTACAGAAAATCTTAATTTTTTCATTGTTCTTTACCATCTCTCTTCTAGTCTTAGCATTATCTAGTGTTGCTCTCAAATGGCAACATATTTAATGAGGTCTGACAAATGAATTGTAAAGGTTTGGTTTTACTCAAGTACTACATTTTTACTGAGTAAAAAATATATGGTATTTATATATGATAAAACTTGTTCTTCATAAACATCCCTTCACTAAGGACACTTCATTACGTACTTCAGTGCTGATAGTTCTTATAAATTGGCTTGTAAGCCCATAGGGGAAAATTACTAGAAATAAATGTGCAAGAGCTTTGTCAATAATACTGAGAAATTAAGAAAATGTATTCTCTCATTCTAGCGCAGGGAGGATCAACTTTCTTGATTGTGCACTGCATACTGAAACTAGATCGCTGAGAGGAGTGAGGTGCAGCTATTGTATGACGACACTGTAGAGCGGACAGCTGGGTGCCGGGGAGCGCTTTGCAGCTGGGAACGGCACACCGGCGGTGGCCTCAGCAGCCTTCCTTTTTGGCTTGTGCCCTTCTGTAGCTTGGGATTTTGCTTATGTCGCAGCTGACGGGGGAGAGATGATGGAGAGGAAGAGGATAAAGCAGTGGGCAAGCTGCTGCTTCAGACTCCTGCAGGCTTTCTGAGGTTGCAGAGTGCTCAGCAGAGTGACCAGTCTCACAGGCTGTCAGGCGTGCTGAGGGCGGGTTTCCTTAGGGAATAAGGTTGGACAGAAAGCAAACACTTGTCGGCTTTATTTAGAGGAAGGGGTGAATGCGTTTCCTGTCATTATCTTTTAAAATTTGTCCTTAGCAGCTTTTCACACTTCAGTTGAATGTACTGCAGGAATTAGAGGAAGTGGTTACCCAGTTAGCGTTATATAATTGATATAAGCAATTCCCTAAATATTACACTGCTTTCCAGGAGTTTGTGCAGGTTTGAAATGTCAAACGTGATGCAGTTCCTTGTGGGCAAGTGCTCTGCATCTGGTGTTTGGGTACGAGTGAGAAAGGGTTGACAGTGACATAGCTGGCATATAGTGTGATAGGCGTGCTGCGTGTGGAGGTTGCCAAGATGAGTACACTCTATTCACTGCAGGAGTAACCACGTCCATCCTCAGGCTTTCAGTTTGTAGTGCTTCGTTCATCTAACACATCTTCTGTTTTACAATGGTGCTTGTCAGCAATTACCTTTCGTTGTTGAGGATGACACCCTTGGCTCTGAGGAGGAGGTTTGTGGTGTACGTGTGTAGTATTTTCCCCCTCTAGCTTTCCTGTGTAGGCAAAACAGTTCCTTCAGTTGTTGCTTTTTCTGTGTGAACAGTAAGAACAGTAAGAGGAATTTTTTTTCCTAGTCTGAGGTGACAGAACTTAAATTTGGTAAAAGTAACCTTCTTGTTTTCAACTTCTATCATTAAAAACTTGCTGAATCAGTTAACATAGCTAAACTGCAACATACACACCTGTGCTAGAGTTTGAAATCCTTAAGTAACTTTTTCTTGTATTTCGCAGAACTAACAGTAAATTATTTTGCATGTATACGTAGCTTGTGAATCCAGGAATCTTAATTCCTTGTAATGGAAGTAATTTCAGACCTTTCAGACCTCATCTGCAGTTTGTTACTTTCTGATGCTCTGGATGTCCAAGTATTGAAATCATCCTGAAAACCTACCCATTACGATGTTGCTAAAAATTTTTTGCAGTGATGACAGGGAGTTGTATTACTTAAACTAAATCAAATGATCAGCAGTAGTAATTAGTGATGTCTTTAAGGCCCTTAAATTTAGAATAAGGCATAGATGAACTACAGATAAATTTAAAGTGAAACTTTCTTAATTTGGGGTGGCAGGGAGGGAAGACAGTTGGTTATGTGCTCCAAGAGGCTACTACAGAAACTAATTTTTATGGTCTTGTGAGACAGATGCAGGTGACAATTACAGTGACTAAATTCTACTTTGGATTACAAACTTCGACGTTTAGGTGAAAAATGATACAAGGTCAAAGTTCTGGCTGTTCCATAGAGAACCTATTGTTACTGCCTGTGGTGGTGGTGTGCTGCTAGAATGTTGTTCGCCTAAATTTTGTATGTCTTTATTTCTAATTTAAAATGGAGTATTCACAGAGCTGAGGGTAATTCTTTAATAGGGGACAGATGGCAGCGTTGTAATTATTTCAAGGGGGACGGGCGGAATAGGATTTTCATTGTATTTGAGAAAGATACGAATACAAGTACTACATCAAAATGCTTGTCTAAACATGGTGAATCAAAAATTCTTAAGATTGATTCTTGAGTCCATATAGTATCTGTGATCTGCTGTAATTGATGTCAGCCTTAAATCATACAGCAAACCCTTGCATTCAGTTATGTAACTCTTTCTAGGATAAAATGCAGGTTGATCAAGATGAAGGTATTCAGAAGAGCCAAGCTGAACAACAGAACCAAGCGGATGAGGAAACTGAAAACGCAGGAACCGAAACAAAAGTTTGTATTCAGTATTGATAAGGAAATGTAATGTTGCTTCCCTTGAGCTTTTTTTGCCTGGTATTCTGTCATTAATCTTATTAGTTGCAAACAGGGGACTGCCTTTAGAGGAGTACAGCTATATTGAAATGGTTAGGTTAGGAATCCTACCTTAGCACTTTCACTTTCATCGTAGTATATGATTAAGACTTCGAAGTAACTTTCTGGTAACATAGTTTTTACAGAGAAGATGGAATCTAGGGAAACTTTCGAAGTGTTATGAAGAAGAATATACAGTGCCTTTAGCTTTTTGAACAGGTTGTCTCACCAACTCTTCACGTTAGGTTTAAAGAAACTAAATTCCACCAGTTTGGTTCAGAACTGAGGTAGTGGTGATTCTGAATAGCAGAGGAATAATAAGGTGCTTCATTTACATATGATTAATTTGTAGCTGTCATACTAGTTTCATTTGTCTCTCATTTTTGAGCACCAATGTAGTAATATTTCTATTCTTGAAAGTTTCTTAATGGTGTAAATCTTCTTACAGGCTGCTTTTGGAGACAAGCAAGATCACGCAGCCCAGCCAAAGGCTAAAGCGAAAGTCAAGAGTATTGACCTACCCATACAGGCAAGCCTCTACAGACAGCTGGGGCAAGACCTTATCAATTGCTATATAGAAAATGAGGTAAGCAGCAGAAACGGATGACAATTCAAATTAACGTCACTGTAAATAATTATCCAGAAAGTATTTGCAACCATAAACTTAGTATCTAATTTAGAATTATGTGGGGGGTTATCCTTAATAGTAAGGAGTTTTGTTTTTGTTGGGGTTTTTTTGCTAATTGTCATTGACTGACCTGATGCTGGTCAGGAGTAGCATTTGCATGACCAGAGTCAAGACTTGTCTTTATTTCTAGTGCTGTCTGTGGTGGTCAGGTGATAATTGCTGTCTGATCCATTTATGTTGAAGCACTTGCCAGACAGCTTCCAGATGTGAAATCATTTTTCCCCTGTTCCAGTTTTGCCTGCAGTGAAGGTGACTTACACAAATGTGAAAATTGTAATTGGTAGTTGTGAATTAGCAGGCTTCTGCAAAGTTCCGTGGTACAGTTTCTTTCATACTCTCTTTCAAGAGAGTAATCATTAAGCTTGACACCTCAAATGCTTTTAGTTTTAGATAAGCTTTTCTCTACCCTAGGGGAAGATGATGATGCAAGACAAGCTAGAGAAAGAAAGAAATGATGCGAAGAATGCTGTTGAAGAGTATGTGTACGACTTCAGAGACAAACTGTGTGGGGTCTTTGAGAAATTCATCACTGAAGAAGTAAGACTTGCTTATGTGTTTAAACTGTTGGAGAAAATGCCTTTGTATTTGTAAGTTTTGAGTGGTTTGTGTGGAGGCTGCAGGGGTCTCTTGGGCTTGTTTTCTGAATATGAAATGGATTAACTTCACAGAGGTGAAGTTCAAACTACACTTGCAGCTGACATTTGACATGCAAGCATGCAGAGTTCTTTATTGCCTAAGAAGTTTCTCAGTGGCAAGGAAAGATGTGAGACGCAGGCAGAAAATAAAAAACCTGTGGTGGGGGTAGGAAAGCAGGACAGATCACCATGAGCTGCTAAATGGGAAATGGAGTGTCTCTAGCTCTGTTTTATTGTCTAATTTAATTAACTTAGAAACATTATTCTTTCACAGTTAAAAGTCCAAGTAAAAGGTGATGAAGAAAGCTGTACACTGGGCTTTTGCAAAAGCAGTGTTGAAAGAACACTTGTCGTATAATCACTTCTCTGTAACAATCATCTGAATAAAGTGGCTGGTATACAGGCAACCAGTTCTTGAAACAACAAATGTCCAGCAGCAGTTTAAGGTCTGCTCTCTAGATTACCTGGTCATCAACCCAGTAGCGCAGTACAGACACCCTTCCAGTATAAACTCAAGGGTGCGAGGCTTTTATGTCTTTCCTATACCAATTTCAAAACAATCTCTTACTTAGGCTACATGGATAGACAAGATTTTTATTTCTAAATAATTAAAGATAAAATCTTTGTTTATAGCCAGTAGAGTCCAATTAAAAGAATTTTAACTTCAGTTATATGTATAGCTGTCCAAATTTGTCTGGCCTGCTATCAGAGAAGCTGAGAAGCAGAACTTCCCATGTAAAGATAATATGCAAGAATATAAGGAGATGCATGTGCTTTCTTACAATTATAATCAATCCTGAGGCTCCCATAAATGTCACCTGCAAATCAGATCAGTAGCGCTGTCCTGCCACTTACTGTTCTGTAAAATCATGGCTTTGAAGGCTGTTAATTGCCATTTTCCTTCACTATCACTTTGAACCTTTTAAACTGATGAAACGGTCTTTTTTGAGTTGGGCGGGTTTCTTTGGGGGGAGAAGTCTGATTTGTCCTGTTCTCTTCTGGAGTATCCCTGCCTTGCTTCCTAGGATTCAAACAAGCTGACCTTGATGTTGGAGGACACAGAAAATTGGCTTTATGAAGATGGAGAGGACCAGCCAAAACAAGTATACATGGATAAGCTTCAGGAATTAAGAGTAAGGTTTTAAGTTACATTTTAGAAAAATCATGTGTGTGTTTGGCAGTGGGGGCGTGTAAATATATGTATGTATATATGGCTAGATGAGCAAAGCTCTTCTAATGAGGGATGTGTGTGGGCATACCCATCTGAGTTTTGTAAATCCATGATCTTAGGTATGGACATTCAGGTTGTCTCTGGATGTGGTTTAGTTATGAACATAATATGTACAACTAGAAATACAGTTTGTCTTAATGTCAGTTGTCCTCCTAATCTGAACACAGTCAAAATGAAGCAGACTGTCACGAGTGACAGTAAAATCAGTTGCTAGGGGAATTTTCTGTCAGTCTTGTTACAGTCTGAAAGAGGCTTTGGAGTAGTTCGACCACTCTCCCAGGTATCCAGAATAGATGCTCTGGTTTTCCTGTTTTCAGTGGTCTTCTATAGCTATATCACAAAAATGAAATTTTTGTCTAATTTCTAATGATAAAAGCTGAAGAGTGCTTTAACAGTAGCTTCTACTGTATTATTTGATTAGTAATGACAGAAAAAACTTAAATACTTCTGATTTTAACAATTTCACGGGAAAACGTGAATTCGATGAATGACAGCTGCTCTGTTTGTAGTAGGTTGGAGTATGTCTCTAGCCTTTGGGCTCCAACTCTCAAGTCAGATTTCCTTTGGGGGAGGGATAACTGATGGAAACAGCAGTGTAAACCCTGGCAACTCCCTTCTTCACAGAATCACAGAATGGTAGGGGTTGGAAGGGACCTCTGTGGGTCATCTAGTCCAACCCCCCTGCCGAAGCAGGGTCACCTACAGCAGGCTGCACAGGACCTTGTCCAGGCGGGTCTTGAATATCTCCAGAGAAGGAGACTCCACGACCTCCCTGGGCAGCCTGTTCCAGTGCTCCGTCACCCTCAGAGGGAAGAAGTTCTTCCTCATGTTCAGACGGAACTCCCTGTGCCTCAGTTTGTGCCCGTTGCCCCTTGTCCTGTCACTGGGCACCACTGAAAAGAGCTTGGCCCCATCCTCCTGACACCCACCCTTCAGATATTTGTAAGCATTTATTAGGTCCCCTCGCAGCCTTCTCTTCTTCAGGCTGAACAAGCCCAGCATTCTTGCCTGGATGCCGGTATTCAAGAGAAGGAAAAAAACAGACAGTGGATAAAACTGGAAGTTTTTGGATGAACTACTTTAAAATTGTCATCCATGTAAATCCTGTCTTGTTTCTCTTCCGAATGCATTGTTCCAAATGCTCTTTTTGCTGAACACAACTGCAGAATACTAAGCCAAATAAGGGCAGCCACTGCTCCTGTGTTTAAATTTCAGGGCTCTGTTTTGTTACACTCTTGAATGGGTGAGAAAAGGAGTTAAAGGTAGCCCTCCTTCCAGTGCCATGCTTTATTCTTAGACTGGACTACAGTAAACTTCCCATTTTGTAAAGATCTTTGTGCTTACGTTTCCAGAAATTTGGACAGCCTATTCAGGAAAGATACATGGAACATGAGGAGAGACCAAAAGTTTTAAATGAGCTGGGAAAGAAGATTCAGCTCCTTATGAAAGCAGTAGAAGCATACAAAAACAAGGTAGAAGTAAATTATTTAGGGAATGAACTATTATGGGCGTTTGAGTTTCTCTGTAGTGTTTTTTGCATTAAAAAGAAATCCCATATGGCTGCCTGTTAAGCTGCTTTAAAATGGCTGTTGTGCTTCTGCTCCTGAGAACTTTTAGAACGGTTCTGGACTGCTAGCAAAAATGGTTTCTTCATGAGAACACGAATTAAACAGTCACAGTTTTTTTTGTGACTTGTACCACTTGAAGTGGATACCTCAAGTTCTGGCTGTTACTGTTGTTTCTAAATCTCAGGTGCTTTTCTTGCAACTTCATTACTAACCTGCACTTCAGTGTGCACTTAAAATCAGAATTTCAAATGTCTAAAAATGATGTCCTGTCTGTCTTGTTCTACAAAAAATAATGTCCTGTCTGTCTTGTTCTACAGTCGTTCTTCATACTAAATGCTTGTTAGACTATTTCTGTCAGGTTGTAGCAATGTTACACTACTTTATTAATGTGTCCATGAAATTCTTAATGGGGTGAGAAGCATATATTAATGGATGATATCAATATCTCTCTCCGTAGGATGAAAAATATGATCACCTAGATCCTGCTGAGATGGACAAAGTTGAAAAATACATTAGTGAGGCTATGAATTGGTTGAACAGCAAAATGAATGCCCAGAACAAACTAAGTCTAACTCAGGATCCAGTTGTCAAAGTGGCAGAAATACTGACAAAATCTAAGGTAAAAAAAAAACACCATATGGTACTTGTTGCATTCTAGTAAGTTTTCCCTTAAAAATATTTTGACCTCTGTGTTGAGCTAGAATGTTACACCTGCAGAGATTTCAAAGCTGTTAAAAGGTCCATACAGAGGGAGCAGCAGTTTTATTGCTCCTCAATTCTGGCTCTCGATTTACAGCAGTACCTATGAATAACCCTTTTTAAAATATCCGGAGTTACAGCACCAGGCTTGCTAGAAAATGGATTACCATAGAGGCTTCTAGCTGACCAGAAGCTCTTTAGCTAGCGAAGGGTTTTATTTTAAGTTTCTAGACTTAGTAGAATTGAAAACTCTAGTCCTAGAAAATTAAATTCTAGGTCGTTATGAACCAGAAATAAATTTGAGACGTTCAAGTTTAATGCAATTACTCTGCCACCAAATGAACTTTCTCTCTCCCGTTACAACTAGGAATTGGATAGCTTCTGTAATCCCATCATATACAAGCCCAAACCGAAGATAGAGCCTCCCAGTGATGGGCAGTCAAAAGCTAATGGTGAACCCAATGGACCAGTGAACGGACAGAGCGGTACTGAAACAAAACCTGAACCAGCGAAGGACAATTCTCAGCAGACCAAACCACCGGGAGAAATGGAAGTGGACTAAATCTTGCTTTTTTTTTTTTTTTAATTTAATTAAAATAGTGCAAGTAACCACAGGGTCCATTCTTTTTGTCTGGTACACACCTCAGATGTTCAGTTATTCTTAGCCAGCCTTCTGTCATTCGTTGCTGAGTAGTTTTGAAAGTGTTTTATATTAAGTACACCTGATGTTCATTTCCACTGATGCTGCTTATGTGGAGCTTTAGCCAAATGTAGATTGTATAAGTCAGTTTAAGCTTTCCCAATATATTTTATATCAAACATACAGAATTGATATATAAATGGCAACAATCTACCTTATTTAAAGCTTTTATTGTGGATAAACCTCAGCTCCTTTATTCAGGAAAGGATACTGTATTGCACTACTGATGCTCAAATGTAGATCTAATTGCATCTTTATTTTGGAAAAATATTGGAATTGCAGTGGCAAAATGTCACTTTGAAGCACTGACCTTTTCTAGTTATTGTACTGTTATAATTTAAATATTAAAATAGAGGTTAGTTGGCATACTACTCCATCTTGTTGGATGTACCATGAGAATTGTATAGTCTTTTTCATATAAACTGAACAATACAAGCATAAACATATTTTTAGATTCCAATACCACTAACAATCTTAGTTACAAAATGCTAGCATAATGGCTCTGCCATGTGCTGAAATTCAGTGAATGGTCCCAGTGCACATTGCTACACGTAACGTACTGTGCTTACGGTGAGACGATGCTAATGGTGATAGTAGGAAGGGGCAGAATATACAAGGACTGTTGCGTAGCTTTCCCTTGAAAATGTCTTATTGCACGTTGCTGTTTCTGCTTCTTTTGTTTTGAATGAAATCTGCACCTTGACCACATCTTATGCTGGGGAGGAGAAACAACAGAACTTGGGCTGTGTGAGCTGGATATTAGCACCCTGATTTTGAGGTTGCTTAAATGCTGTTTGTTGCAAAATTCGAAGAAATACTGAGAGCTTATTTAAGCTTTGGTACTGGGCACATAAATCCTGGTCAAGGATCTAAACAAAAGAGCTTACAAACTGGATATTATTACCCTAAAGACAGAATGTACTTGATGAACTTGCATAGCTGACCAACTGTCTTTGGTCATTTACTTGATCTAATGAAAGTGTCTATAATCTGTTACACAGCTGAGTCGCTGTTTTCTTTGATGCATCTTGGACACTGTCAAGGTCCAGTGTCTGTATGTTCTGAACGCTTCCGTCGGTCACGGAGGTACCGTGCTGTACTGACTCGCTAGAGCAAGTCGCTTTGCTCTTGACTTTGGACAGCTCTTCTATTACCAGAATAGGAGCAGGCCATTCAGTGAAAGGTGGCGTCTGAGTCAAGTCAGCACAAGCGGCTGAGGTTAGCTGCATTGTGGCACTTGGG